AGCACCACTTGTTCAAATGGATACAGCGCTATATAAATATCCAATCAATCAATCAAAATCGAAATGTCAAGTCGAGAAGTACATTTACAGCACTTTATTACTTGAAATATAACTTGACATATAATTCTTGAATAAATCCAATCCACAGAATCAATGTGAAATAAAAATTAGCAGCACTCCACGGAATAGAGAATATGATTATGTACTCAAATTATATAATCACCCCCCAAACAATCGATTCATAAAACCTCCTCCTTTGAATACTCTAACCTCATTCCAATTTCACATGCTCGCCAATATGGGTCACGAAATAGTCAAGTATTTTCTTATAATCCATCATCTGTATTAATCCGCCACGTGATTTCTGATTTCTCAGTTGAGTTTTACTCTATGATCAATAACCACTACTTGTCATGATGTTACAGTTGCTGTTTAATATGTGTTAATACATGATATGTCCATGTTAAATTATTCCTTATAGTTTTTTTATTCTTGATTTTCTCAAAACTTGAAATTGTGACTTAGCCCCCTTTAAAAAAAAATTCTCTTCTTCCTATGAAGTAATTTTTAATTAATAAATCAAGAAATAAAAAAACTGAAGAAAAACTAGCCTATAAAAAGTAGAAATGTCCCATGAATTAATAAATAACTTAAGTGACTGACCTCTGGGCTGACCTGCTTCAAAAGCAGGTTGACCCTATCCCCTCCGAGACAAGTGACGCTGAGCTTGTCTACAATCAGCCGAAACCTGACACCAGGGAAACTGGACACTGTCAGAGCTTTACAAAGCTCAGAGTGGCAAGATTCAGAAGTCACAAATGCATCCAGCTTGATTTCAATAACTAGAACATAAAAAAATTGTGAATGTCCATCAAATGTGTTGAAATATTTTAGGCAGATCCATAACCCTTACTCAGACCTTTAAACAAAATTTTAATTGCTTTTTTGGCATATATAATTTATAATTGTATTCAGAACTAGGGGTAATTTTTACATGGGTAAAGAAAATTCTAAACAAAATACTGCGAGAAAAGGAGACTTAGTTTGAAATGAGTATGCAGCTATAAGTAATGACTAAGTTCTGTCTGACACAGGTGATGATCACTTGTTTTGCTTTTTGCATTCTCTATTTGCACTGGTTTGTTTGCTAACAAAGGCTTCTTCCCAGCCCATTTGTCCTTTTTTGAAGTCTTTTTTCTGGTTCCCCCCCCCCCCACCCTTGTGTTTTTATTTTAGCTTTAAGTATATTGTCCCATGTTTC